GTGAGAGGTAATCTAAGAACAGTCAGTAAAAAGATGTCTTTCATGGATTTTGGAGCTATCTTTGGTGGGCTCATATAGTGATGCTCAGATACTGTGAATGAAAGCAAAATTCAGTAGCATGACCGTTGGCAGCCCCCTGAATTTTGCTCTTTGGGTCATTTCTCTTCAAGGCACATTACAAAACCTTTCTGTAGTTCTTCCTTCTGCAATCAGATGCTTAAACGTGCCATCACACTCCAATTGAAGACTGAAATTTCCTACAGGTAAAAGACTGGGGCAATAAGAATCAATACATGGAGTTCAGACCAAGTGTGCAGCTAGGACAGTGTGCAGTTTTTCTAGCAAGCAGGCACAGATAAAATACATTTCTGAAAATGTAAAGATACATTTTCAGAAGTGTTTTGTTGAATTATATTTGAACTGTTATACTTTCCTCAGTTGGCTGGAGAAAAGAATGTAAAATACAGGAGTAAAACTGGTTAAAATTAGTCAAAACTAGAAAAAAAAATGCCAGTTGAAACTAACGCTCTCTGACTGTAAGCTGTTAGCCTTTCTCCTGTTGAGTAATATTTGATTGATTTTACTGAGATTGTTTACAAGTACAATTCACTGACATTGCTGGTTGAATTTCATCAAACAACGCTGTAATTTTAGTCTCGTTTTAGTGACAGTTCCTCCCGTTCCCATTAGCATTAAGGAAGGAGCCATGCTTAATCTTAACTGTTTGTACATTACTAGACCTAAAGACATAACTTCCTACCTGCTATGTACCTTMCAGAAAAGAAAGCCTGAGTTGTTTAGATAAAATCCATAGAAAAGAAAAAACAGATGTCAGAAAAAATCACAACAGGGGCTGAAAGAAAAAGCAGACAGAAAAATCCATTGCAAATGAAAATAATAAAGTCTCTTAAACTTTAAGGAAAAAATAGATGCCCATTTTGTACAAAGATAGTGAGATGTGTTCATTGATCTTTTTAAGAGTCAAGAAGAAATTGGCCAGTRGCTGAATAAAAGAAAATGAAGTTCCATTAATACAATCTATCGAAAGACAACTTGGGTAAATTGATCAATGCAGCACAAATAATTTCTAACCTTTGCCCTCTCCGGAGAAGATGTTGGATTTTTTTGTTATGAATTTTTTTCCMCCCCAAAGAGTGTAAACAACGTTCATCACCAATTTCAAGTACTTTTTAGATATTTTTTTTTTCCAACAATGATTGGAGAATTTCTGGAACTAAGCATGGTAATGGCTTTGCTTCCATTCCTCTCCTTCATTTTGCCCTCATTGCCTTGAAGAACATCAGTACACTGAGAAAGTCTGAAGGCTTTTTTTCTTTTCTTTAAACTCTCAATCTTCTTACTTCCTCCTCTTCTACCTACTTCAAGCTGCTTTTGCAGCATTTGACAAGTAAAAAACTGCTGCRGCCACTGCTATAGTAACAGTGTGTGCAGGAGAAGCTTCATTTTGACTGAAATGCAACAAAATCCCAAAGGCCAAAAGAGGTTTTGTCCTCTGCAGAGTTTGTGACAGCCCTTGCTACCAAGCCCAGCCCTTTACCACAAACTGTAAAGACCCTGCTTGTCGTTGTGGTGTTTTTCTCATTCAGAATCTTTATATTAACCAGATGTTGGGTGCTATATGCAGGAGAGAGAGCTGAGAGCTGAGACTGCTGCTRCACTAGTGGAGCGTCCTTTGTCCAGAGGAATTAAATAGCCTGGAGTGCCCAGCTTCCCTCTTTTTGGAAAAGTGACTGTCTTCAGCTCCTGGAGATGTGAATGGGAGATGATCAAGTTTATCCCTGGGTAAAATAAGCCTGTAAATCCAGGTATTTGGAAATGATTCTTTTTCTGCTCAAAAAGATCTTTAAAAATCCCATACATGAAAAGCAACTGTAGCACCTGGGGACAATAATTACTGAGATATTTTGGACAGTATTAAGTATAAAGCTATTCTGATTTTTATTTTATAAAGCTATTCTGATGCATTATTTTGCATTGCAGTGACAAAGTAACAATCATTAGAGAGTAAGCAGTAATGAAATAACRGGAAAAAATATAGTATCTTTTTGAAATGGATCTGATCCACAGTAAGATTTTAAAAAAGCTTTTTGCGGTATGGTGGATTGCAGAAGGAAAATAGGACCTTCACACATGCTGCATAAGTGTCAGAACATGAGCTTTGCAGTCATGTGCACAAATGCACTGGCCATTTGATGCAGCTGCATCCCGTAACTCAGCAGCACAAGCATTTCTTCTCCATGGGCAAGTTGTCTCTGGCCCTTGAGACAGTGCTTCATTCAGGTCGGGTGAAGTTATGGGAAGGTCAGTATGGGAAAGATCAAACTCCACCTGTCTACATCGCATCCACACTGCTGGAAAAGAAGGGTACGTTCCCTGCCTGGCTTGCAGGCACAAATACACGGTAAGATCTTGCAAAGAATGAGAAAATGTTGCACAAAATGTTTTGATCTTAAAAAAACGCCCCTGAAAACGTAAAAAAAAAAAAAAAAAGCCCCAATCTTAAAAAACGCCTCATCAAAAACTTTCTAATATGTACACTTTACTGGTAGCAACTTTGAGGGCAGATAAATATTTAAGCCAATGCTGAAGTATATAGTGATATCCCACTGCTGATCCTGGGGAGGGGCATTAGTGATTCAAACCAGGATATTATCCACTGCCAGATAGTCATTGTCTGCACAGAAACTTCTCAGCTTTCAGTACAGCTGGTCTCCATCAGCGATGTTAAACAGTGATGCAGGGAGATTTGTACAGTTTGGAGGGCTTTCTTTTTAGAGAAAGGGTAGTGTAAATCTCAGCAATTATTGTTCGAGTAAAATGAGAAAGAAGCCAAGTCCTTCTTTGCTTCATTTGTAGGAAAGGATGAAGGCCTGGGTTTACCAAGCCTTTAGTACTTAAGCTACCCCTACTCAGAAGTATGTGGAAATGTTTGCATTTAAATCAGAATAAATAGAGCTTAAATCAGATGGTTATTTTTATTTTCTTCATGTCACCATACATAGAAGTATACATATGCTAGAAAAGCAAATGGATTAATTAAAGGAAGTGTTAAATGAAATGTTTATAATTCTAATGCAGAGGAAATTAGCTTGATTTTTAGCCCAAGGATATCACATAACWTAGACATCTTGAAGCATCCATAAGGGTTACACAAAGCGAGAGCTGTATTTTTTCCACAAACTCAGTGAACTTAAAATTCTGCAAGGTTGTGTCCAGCAGTGGAGTCAAACTCCCACGGGATTCTGGGAGCCAAGATCACACGAAAGATGTTTTATTACATGATGGGAAAACTGGGAAAGACTGAACTTCCGACCTTTTTTGTGAAAACATATGAATGCAAAAATCAAGCTGATATACAATAGCAACTAATCATCAAAAAAGACAATTGTTAGCGACTTATGAAAGAAGGCTCCAACAGATAAGAAACAATAGCCAAATATTACTGATTTCTGCACCTTCATTATTTAAGCTTGGAAAGCAGTTTTCGTCTGCAAGCTTTATGAGACAATCGAGGGTGTTAGGCAATAAGGAAATCAGGTCTTCACCCTTGTTTGATTTCCACAGAAGGAGAATGCTGTTAACGCTTTAGGACCTCTCCTGCACAGCACGAGACACCGGAGCAGRGTCATGATGCTCAACCATCGAGTGCCAGGAGATTCTAGAGCCAAGGGACAGGAATCAACGTGGGGGCCCTTGGTTGCGTCTCCCCCAGGAAAGCTCACGGGTCAAACGGCTTTGCTTATGCTGAGCACYTAGCAAGCATCTAGGCCTTCCTAAAAATAAACTTTTTGTTGATTTTTGTGAATCCGCAGGCTAAGGTAGCGCTCGGGGATGAGCATTAGGGATGGCTGACATCTGAGCCCTGTAAAAGTGGATGATATTTTTCTTTCCTCATCATTTCATAGAGCTTTATTCATAAGCACATCTCAAGCCATACATTAGCCTTTCTTCTACTCCCAACTCTTAAGTATAACTTTTTCTATTCTACTTGCTACTTGGACAACTATTTATTAATTCCTAGGTTTTCCTAGTCCCCTTTTCTCTGCATTCTCTACATGTTTTATGTTTCTTGGGAAATATATAGTTAAGGAGAAGGGGTATGAGTGCTGCTTATCAGTTAAATTGCTATATATTCTTCATTCTCCATCTCTGTCTGGAAGAAGCAATCTGATGTACTCCATGCCATAAAATTTCATCATTTTATATAGATGGCCATATAAGTGGACATCCAGAGCACTGTTTCCAAAATCCTTGGGAAGGAGTAGAACTTTTCATGAACCTTGCTTGGGATCTGCTAGGTCTGAAACAGCTTTTCATCTACGGCATTAAACCCCCTCTTTCACCCCAAAGCATAAGATAGATAAATTGTCRTTCTTAACTGAAACGCTCTTTACTGTGACAACAGGTGGACCGCTGAACAGAGATTTCCACCTGTCTAATTTTTATCAGCTTAAAAGCATAGTGTATCCAGAAGTATGGACTTCTAATAAACATAAAGTAAGATAAATCGTCTCCAAATCCTGCCCCATTTTGGAACTGTTATTCCAGTGAACAAAAGTATGGCAGATACTTAAGGATGGGAAGGTCTAGCCATGCTTGGGGTAGTTCTGGAGAGCAAAGGATAAGCAAAGGATCACATTACAGTAAATTACAGATTAAGTTTCTTTTTGTTATTTTTCCTTTTTGCCATTTATGCCATAAATTCAGCACTTCGTGACACAATGCTGATTATTATTTTTTCTTTTTTTCCCCCTTGTCTGTTAAATTTAATAAGAAAATCCAATTATTATGTAAATAGAGCCCTGCTATAATTGTCACAAACAAGTTAGCATAACAATGAGGAGCAAAAACTTTCTGAAGTCAAAGAAAGCTCTGATTTATGGCTGTCTCTGAGATATGATTGATACAAAATGTTTTGAAGGGATATTATCAACATTTCTACTCTACTTCTTTTTGCAGCCTCCTTCCTCAGATCATCCTCGCTGATGCATGTTTGCAAAGGAAAGTTGCTTTGGGAGAGGTAACTTTACACAAATTCATTTTCTTTTCTTTAAAGAAAAAAAATATGAAGCCTACAAAAGCTATTATTTAAATAGCCTCCTTTTTAAAACATTTCTGGCAGATGTTTATGTAGAGAATGTGCTGGAGCTCCTTCACTGAGACACAAAAGTGACATTTCTTGAGGGTTTTAGCTGAAGAATTTGTCTTTCACATCATGTCTTTAAACATCTGCAAAAGGCAACAGAATCTTTATTATGCTGCTAACTTGAAGAGAGGCACAATGCAGTCCTGAGTCTTTAAAAAATGGTATTTAATGGGACTGACAGATGAGAAATATCTAGCTCTAATGTTTTCCTTCAGTAGAAATTCACCTCTTGACCTTATGACTCCAGAGTACGGCTGCTGCCTTCTAAAAAAGAACATTTCCTTCCATTCAGATGTGATTTCTACGATTTTGTTGTTCTGTTTTTTTCATATTGCTTAGTTTTCTGCTCTAGGGGAAGGTACTGTCTTCAGGATTCAAACGCACAAAAAATTTACAGTTTCTGCAAGCACGCCTGTGCTAGGTCTGTTTACGGCACTTGTTCTTCCAAACCCTCTTTTAATTTCCCCAACTGGATATTTTTCTTCTTCCCCACAAAAATGAAAGCTGCCTTCTCTTCTTGCCATTCCTTTTACCTAGATTTCGAGGGAGTGGTATAATTCAGCTTTCATATTGCTTTGCTTGACTTTGGTTATATACTTCTATGCAAAAAAAATATGGACTGGGGCCATTGCTAAATCCTGCCCAAATTGGCCTATCTACTTCACAAAATAACCTTTTTAAGAAGAATTTCTTCTATCTTTTGGTTACTAGTTTGATTCGTGTTCTTCAGTGGGGGCAGGAGGGAGCCTACAGGCAGTTGGGGTTTCTTTTTTTGCTCTTGTCTGTATTGTGTTTCGGTTGTCGAGTCCTTTTTTTCCCCTCCTCCTTTTTCTCTTTTTTCTTTTTTCCTCCCTCAAGGGTTTTCTCTGGGAAAAGTTTTCTGGGCTTCCGTCCAGCCAGTGTCACAATTCACAGCTGTACTGTTTGATTCAAGTGCTTCAAGCTGCCAGTGAGGTAGAGCCAAATGAGATTAAGGGCTTTTTTATTAAAGCAAGCACCCGCATGTGCTGGTATGGTTAAGGCTACGTCAGACGTTCCAATATGAACCCCAATTTCTGGAGACCTTTAGTTCTCAAACATAAAATATTTATGCCAGGCTGAAACCTGACCTAGATGCACTCATCCGGAGGAGCTGTAACTCTTTGGAAAGAAATGGTTTGGCTTTTATTAAGTTACAGCTCCAAGAAAGGAAAATATACTGATTTTCAGGATAAGCAGTTGCAAAGAAAAAAGCAAAAATAAAACAGAGGAAGACAGTTGTAGATGTTACAGGCAAAAGCTAAATGAGGTATTTTAAATTAATTTGTGTGAATGTAATGGGAGGCATTTTTTAGGTATCTGGCACTGCTACGTTGCTTGATGCTGTCTGCCACAAGGCCCAGCAATTACATGGTTCTCTCCAGTGGGGAAAACCAGGCAGGATTTGGGATATAAACYAAAATCACACTCTTTTTCTCAATGTCAGATTTGAGCCCAAGTTAGAACCCAGACTTCCAGAGAGCAACGTATATTTTAGCTCCCCTTTTGGAAAACAGACCCCAAACAGTACCCCAAATCATAGCTGTAAATCTTGTCCCTATATTTTGACCAACTGTAAAGTGGATCATGAAATTTGGAGGGCTACTGACATTTCCAATTTTGAAATTCTCAGACAGTGGAGGCCTTTTGCTGTATGAGGCCACCCTTCCTTTTTCTTTTATTGTCCATCTGGGACTTTCCTGGGAAAAGACATTTACAGTGATTTTAGTGAGGGTTGAGCTCTTTAATTTCATTTAGAGACTTTGCTGTTCATAGAGCAATTTCATTTTGGCTTCATGGTAGATCACGTAACCCTAAGTCCAAGGCCTGACRTAGCTTGTCCGGCCTCACAGTGTGACAGCGCTGCATCAAATGTCTGCTTCCCGTTGGACTTTCAGCTAGGAGACCATTTATGTCACAGCTGACCCTGCAAGTATTTCTGTATGTCACTGTCTGACCATTTCCAAGAAGGGAATTTAGGATAAAAGAAATGCGGACCAGGAGAGGAAGGGAGAGGAACCTGTAATAAGGCTGACATCTTTGCAGCATTTGAATGCAGTTGTTCTGCAGGCCCTATGGTCAGGCATTTTTGACCATTTGCTGGATTTCTCAATTGCAGCTTAATGATATCAAGATACAAATAGCCACATCCTCATCTCTGCTGCTCTTGTAATCTTGATAATGATTTGCGACTTAAATGTTGAGAGACTACTTAAGTCTATGAGGTTCTGAAATCAAAGGCAGCAGCATTAATATTCTGTGCAAATGTAAAGAAGCCATGAAAGCTTTATTTGTTGCTAAAGAAACCAATTAAATCAAATAAGTTGAATAAAACAAAGAACTGCATAATTATTTTAATTAAAACTGCCACTTATCCCAGCAAAACTGCAGCACAGTTGTGCTCCCCAAATATTTCTTGCTGAGACTCGCATATTCAAAAAGTAGCCTTAATAAGCAAAATAAAGCATTGCCAGCCATTTTCACCTCCCTTTGGCACAAAAGCTCCTAAACAAATTGCAAGAAACCCGTGCAAAACTTTGTGATGTTGACTGCAGATTTTATCTGAGAGGAATTTAAGGAACTCGCCATTCAACTCCAAAAGTGAGTTGTCTCGAGTGAAATGTGAGGCTGCTTAACTCTTTAAAAAGCTGCATGGCATTTAGCCGTAAAACTCGCTGTGACTTTAGACATTTGTAAACAGCGTTAGCGCCAGGATCAGACTGCCCTGTGTGGCTGTTGTGGGTCTTCATAGCCACGGTGGYTCTCCTGTGAGCAATCTGTGCATCAAGCTCCCGAAAAAGTTAAGGTAGCTTCACAGTTGCCCCTACCTCTTTTCTGCCCAACAAGGATATTTTGAAAAAAGAGCCAGAATATAGAAGCCTGGAAATCAGCCAGATAGAGAAGCAACCTTAGTAGTTGTGCCCCAGCTTCTGGAAGCAGCCCAAGACTCTGCTATTTAATGCAAAATATGAATAGTACAAAGCATCTCCGTTTTGATTAAAGCAGAATGTTTGACCGTTCTACAGACCTGCATCACATGTGGTTCCTGGATTTCCTGTGATCTTCCCAACACTCATAAGTGCTTTAAGCATGTAAGTTCAGCTTAAATTTGGAATCTTTTGTCCACCTCAGATATGGATATGCTTCTATTGCAATGAATCCAGCATGTTGTCACTGAGACWAACTAAAAAAGCAGCTTTAAAATCAAGCTCCAAATTTATTTTCACTTTCCAAATACCTATTCAGATACAGCAGCTTGGCCAGGGCCCGTCTTTTGTCTTCTTTTCAAGTGCTCTATCTGTCTTCACCAATAACTGGATGGATGTAAATATGTTGGGGCCCATTTTTTGTACAAATAAGTTTGTTTTATCATTTTGAAGATCTTTTTACAAGATTCTCAAGGATTAGCATTTGTAAGCTGTAGGAGGGCATTATTAGTAATATCCTACAGGAAGCCACAGTTTTACAAACGAAAGACTTGAATTTTTCTTCTAAACATAATGTTTTGCTGAGCTCTTTGGAGACTGTAAATGGAGCTTATAGCAACAACTTTTTTTTTCTCTCTTTTCCCATGACAGGATAAATGAAATTGAAGTCTGTTTTTATTAGAACTTTATGACCACCTGCTCGAGTAAAGAAGTTGAGGGCTGTTTGAAAGTTATCCCTTTGGCACCTTGCTCAGACTGTCTCACATGTTATCATATTAAAGACTTTTCCGAGCGTTCCCTGAGAACAGTGAAAACCTCATTATGATCTGAAAACTGTTTGGGTTTTCACTGTTGATAATGAAAAAGTTACTCACTACAGTACTGATTAAGCAGATACAATTTAAAAAGCAGCGTCTACTAGACAAAATAATTGCATTGGGAAAAGAAGCGGTTTAATTACATCAGTCCTCAATTTAATGGTCTTTTCCTTCCATTTGTACACTGGAAAAGAGTGAAGAACTGTGAGTTATAATTGTTTCTTGCACCTTCCAACCTTATTTGAGAAAACACATGAGTTTTTGCCCTAGATTTTAGTAGCGTTCAAAAGATGTGATCTCTCAGTGCTGAGGATGTGGCTGATGGATTACTTTGGCTCAACAGCTCTATGCTTATGTAATAAAAGGCATGAATCCTCACCAGAAAAAGAAGGAATAAAGTATGTAGAGATCAAGAAATTCTTATGATTTCCAAAGGACAGACTGGAGGAAGAAGTGATGTACAACGCTGCTTCAGTTCTAATGCTGCATTTGCTTTACCTTTCAAAGGGGAAACAGAATTGGCAAAACAATCTTGTATTGTGCCTAAAGCCGAGGTACTGTCACGTGTTGTGTTGTCCCTGCATTGATATCAGAGGTCTGTATGGTAAATGCTGCTCTAACTAAAATCATGAAATCCATGCAAAAGCAAGACATGCCTAACAGTGAGATGTGTGTTGAAGAGGAAGACCTAGGTAGTTTCCTAACTCTGCTTTCTTACATCCTTTTATTCCACTGGAATCAGTCATCTTATCAGAACACAGCTAGMCAAATATGATGGAAAAATCAAGCCCTTTAATACGAGTCTATCTGCCTGTCTGTCCTTTTGTATGGCACCTCCCAACATAGTGCCTGAGTGCAAAGTTCTTCACCCTCATGTGATTTAATACTTAAAGTGGTTGCTGTGAAGACCCGTCGTCCATAGTAAACTGTTGGAGATGAATCAGCCACTCAGATTAGCCTCACAGAAATGATAATGGGGTTCTGTGTTCACAGCTGAGTTATTTAAACTGTCTGATTTGGTCCACGGCTTCCTTGGACATTAATAGGTTGACTGCTATGTCGCCGAACTTAGTGCATGAAAGGTCAGCCTTTGAAAAGCTAAATAAGGTAAGTGCAAGCTGAAGCATGTTGGAGGTGATACCGTGTACTCTAAATGCACTTGACACCCCTAAGAATCACTGCAGCTCCTTAACATTATTCCATATCTGATTTTGAAGTGGTAGATCCTTGGATCAATACTTTGATTTGGGTCTCTCATCCACCAGGAGATTCAGGAGTTTGCTCGCGTGTTATAAGCATATGCTCCCCTGACAGGCTTTGAGAAAAAAAACAGTTGGAAAACTTCTTAAAAGATGTCTTTTCATCAGCAAATGCTGATTTAGATGTATTTGCAAGATTCTTCAGGATTATAGCAATTTTGCTCAAATTACTGAGCTGCAGGATTATGTGGTGGGGACCCTTGGCTTCAGTGGAGATGCAATGCTTTGACTTTTGTTGTGCTATAGTGTAAATTAGAATGTACTGTTGCGCATGGTTCCAAGTCATTAAGTCAAAATGAAGTATTCCAACAGTATCAAAATGAAATGTTTTCAATTGTTTCAAAATGAAAACATTTCTGAGAAGGAAAGTACGGAAAAGGAATTTTTAGTGATACCTACATTGTGGGGAATTTTTTTCTTCTCTCTTGTTTTTTTTTTCTTTTTCTATTTGTAAATAAAAGCAAATTTTGAAATGCTAGTATTTCCTCCAGATCTGACAGCTCTCCTCTTCACCGACCCATGAGAGTTAGTGGGAAAGTCAGTGCAAAAGCAGCTGTCTTTCCTTTCCCTTCTCTTGGATGCAGGAGTGTGGAGGGAAGAGGAGGGAGGAGAATACAAGTTTGGTTTGTCATCTATAAATAGAGACACCCTTCACACCCACTTTCTTGAGCTGTCTTAGAGCACTAGAGGAAGAAGAACAAAATAAACCGAAGTAATCTTGGGAAAGCTTTGTACATCTCAGGAATGTTCCAAAATAAAAACTGGCTCTGTCTTTCCAAATTGAGAGGTTTAATTCTTTCAAAAGGCACCATCAATCAGTTGTTGTGTTTAATTTTATCCTGTGTTTAACAGTGGGAAATGTTGTGGTTCCGTACGAATAAATATTTGTAGATTTTGAAGCATTGCACGTGCTTAGTTCTCCATCCACGGAAAACATTACTTGTTTTCTACTTAAATGACTGAGCATTTATTGTGAACTCCTATAATATTGCTAAACGCTACCTACAGCCCAACTTTTTAGGCTGTGTGTGTAACAAACTGGAGATTTCTAACCAAGGAAGGTTGTCATCGCAAGTTGACCTGATATGGATGAAAACTGTGTCCATTACTATGGAACCTAATAGCAAAGCTGTCAACGTTACTCAGGAATAGTTTTGAAAGATTTGCATTATGAAAAATTTGCTATATTGGTTTTCCTTTTCCTTTTTTTTTCTTTCCTTTTTTTTTTTTTTTTTTTCCAGAGGTGATAGGGGATGTAGAATATACATCATATATGGAAAACTGCATGTCCTATGGTAGCAGTTATATTGAAGGACCATTTTTGTGGGAGGTAAGCAAATGGACCCTTCCTGGGGATCATTAAAATCAGTCCAATCTTTCATAAAAAACAAGTAATAAAAATTTTGTGCTCTAAACCAACAAGCAAGTGGTACCTAAACCAGGAAGCTCAAAATCAATCAAATAAACCTTATTCCAAAGGGTGGATTTGGTTATTAATTCCCTGATTTCCTACCAATAAGAGCACACTTTCACACTGGTGGACTTGATCGAGGTGCTTGAAAGCCCAAAGTGAACAAGCATGTGAAATATTTAAGGGCACATTTTTATATTTATTGGAAACAGCCTAAATAATTAAACTAGTTGATTCACTGGTGGCTTTCAGGCTCATGCCCAGAGTGAAAGGTCATGACCTGACATACCATGGCCTCACTTGGTACCGGTGATTGACAGGGAAAGGAAATAAGTTGATATCTTTCACGTGGGAATCACAGCTTGTAGCAACTATGAGCAAGTGGGCTATTTGGACTTTGTGGGAAAAGTTAATTGTGTTATTATTCAAAATCTTCATTCCCAAAGTTGGCTCAATGGTGATTTATTTACTTATGTGATAAAACAGCTGTGTACTGTAATAAAATACAGGTCACTTGCTGATGTTTAATGCACAAAAGTAGGAATATATTTGGTTTCTTTTACTTTGAACTTACRTTCATGCTAGGCAGTGGGAATGACTTTGAATTGTTAGGAATTTTCTGTTAGTATATGGCAAATAATTAATGCTCTTATAATACTCTAAGTTCTTCCATGCTCAGTTATGGAGAACGAGGAAGGCACCATACACTGAAATATGAGTGCCTCTCCACCATATGCTTTCATTATTTCTTTATAATGATAAAAAGGGGCTGCATTCAGTGCCAGACAATGTCATGGCCCCAGAGATTTAAGTGGCCTGCAGAAAAAAGGAGAAAAAAGCATTTATGATATGAATGAGGATTTGAAATGGCTTTTCAAAAAAAGGCCTAAGATCCACTTTCACCCTAAATTCTGAAATCACTTGAAAGATGTCTAGATGCAAGAGAGTTTGAAGAATAGCAACTTTGCGCCAGGCTCTGTTTTATATGCCGTATCACTGCCATCTTGACCACGCTTTGTTGCGAGGTCACATAATTGTTCCCAGCGATAGGGCACGGTCTAACTTCACGTATTGTCTGATTTGTTCTAGGAACGAGCCCTGTCATCTTTATCCGGAATACACGTTCTTTATGGCAGTCATTTCCAAGTTGGCTGAGGGACGCACTGTTGTTTACACCTCCAAGCTCAGCAGTGCAGAGGATTTTCCACCAGGATGGCCTGATCTGCTGACTCCCCAAAGCCCCAAGTTGGGGGACACCAGGGCTTCCTCCGGACTGCAGGTCTCTACCGTACCGCAGGTATCCCTACCACATAAGCCATGGGTGCTGCCAATTCCTTTAACATCATCATGTGCTTTGTTGGTGGCTGTTTAATTGTCTCATTAAAGGCATTTGAGTGCAGAAGAGGTCACTGTGGGGACAGTTGTACATCTCAGCACTGTGCAGTGCAGCAGTGTGTGTGGTGGGTCGTGCCGTTTTCCTCAAACTATCCCCACTGTGATATTTTTCCCACAATCTTTCCTCATTTCTTATTCCCAATAACAAAACAACTCTTCTCAGAAAGGAGGAGGAACTCCATCACTCCCCAGAATTTTGTAGCATTTCTCTAGGATAATTTTAAACTTTATTAAGATAATGCAATTCTTAATAGCAATAAGCATGCCTGGTTATATGGTAAACCAAGATAAAGGTTGTTTCAAATGGAATAAGAGCTGGTGCTATTTCTCTTGCATTTTTGCTGTTATTTGTTCTCATTTAACTTTGGGCAACAGTGGGGTTGACATTTAAAAAAGAAGATAGGCTACAGATCCTGCCACAGGACTACATGTCATGATAAGTAAACTGTAGCTTCTGACTGAAAAGGAAAAATGAAATCAAGAAAAAAAGTATCCTGGGGCCATAACATGCCCAAATTTTCCTGCAGCAGTACGAATATATTTCTTTTGTGCAAGTCTGTGTGGTATCTATCTGTATTCCCCGTGTATTCCCCGTGCAAAGGTCTATAGGCAAGGGCATTCTGGAGACAAGACTCGAAGGGACCTGGATTTGGGGAATAAAACACACCATGCCTATGTCCTGATGGCTTCTTGTAGCAGAAGGAAGGGCTGGCAACATTTTTTTCCAGCAGAAGAAGCAGTGCTGGTATGTACATCCTAGTCCTGGAAGGAAAAGGTCACAATTARGCCAAATCCAGCCAAATTCATAGAATTTATTAAATTGCAGAACTGGAGACTGAAACTAGCACTAGGGCTGTAGTTGTATGGAAGCTTTTCTGTTGGGAATGGATAGTGGCTACGACCTGACCTTATGTAGCCCCAAAAAGTCCTTGCAGTGATGCCTTTGGTTCGTGCCTGACTTAGGCTAGACTCAGCCTGAACATCAAGAGACAAAAGGCTGTCAATGCCATGCCAATCCTCTGATCTTTCCATTCCCTTCCACCTCCCTACCTCCTGGCTTGCTCTGTTAGCAGCTCCCTGAAGTGAGCACCATGGCTGTGAATCTAGAAGTGAAGAAGCCCATGACACTCTTCAGAAAAGAGCAGTTATTCTTAGCTTTGTTTTTCTGATGTTTTTCTTTCTTTTTTTCCTCCCTTTTTTAAAAAGAAAACAGAAAGCCTGCCAAAATTTGGGCTCTTTGATGTGCTTTGGAAAGAAAAACAATGCTATCTATCTGAGCCCTTTGAAAGGAACAAAAATATGTCATTTTAAGGCATGAATTACTTGGGAGGAACGATCAGTGCATTTCATGATTGAAGATGGTCAAGAATGTCTTAATATTTTGCTGGTAGATTTTGATTAAGAAATGCTGAGAGACATTTGCATTTCTAGCGAAACTTTCTTTGAGAAAATTTCCTGAGATGTAATAAAAAAACAGGAGGGGAAAAGAAGTGGAAGAAGTTGGTATTTGCTGTAGAATATTCCACAACCTAATAATCACCCAAAGAGATACCTCTTTAATTCATTCAAACTTTTCTTCTACCTGATTTAGACCAAGTATGTGAACATGTCTCCTACTTTCAGATCAATGCTTTTTTTAAAAAAAAAAAAAAAGAAAAAAGAAAAAAAAGAAACAAAAAAAACAGGATTGGTTCTCTTTTGCTTGCTTGTTTTTTCAGCCTTGAGTGCAGTTATTGTACTTTGTGACACTCTTCAGGTAGAGATGATACTCAAAATTATCTATTTTGTCTCAGATGGAAGAGTCCCAGGTTCGAATCTTTGGCCTATAGCTGTAAGGAAGCTTTTGAGTTGGAGCTGTAGATGACATGACAGAGTGTGTAGCCAAACTCCTGCTTGCTCTCTCTGGTTAAGGTTTCTCCACCATCTCTTCAACGAATTTTGATAGACCTGATGGAATGACTTTTTGACATTTTTATTAAGCMGAGGCTTCATAAAGACTTTCTTTCTACAATGTGATTAATGGGATTAAGCTGCTGTACAGAAGTAGTTATGCTATTTTTTTTCTGAGTGAGAATTTTTATAGATTTCCTTTTCTGCCTTCCTGTGAGACTGCCTTCTGCATCATTTACACTGTCTGTTCTCCCTTTCCATTACAGTCATTATATAGAGAATATTTGTGCTTAGAGAGTTTTTTGTTTTAAATTAGTATTTACATCTACTATTTCCAGTCCAATGTTTTCAAAGAAAAATACATGAGAAAATGGGCCTAGAGTGTAAATGACAATGGGGCTACTTACTTTCAGACTACTTAGTGCTAGAAGGATAAAGCTTGACTTTGAGAAGAAAGGTGCTCCACATTTCCTGAAAGTTTCTCTGCTTGACTATACAAAAATTTGAGACTTCTTTTGAAAATGCAAGCCAGGATTTCAGACTTTAAGGATAGCAATCAAGTGCCTTAAATAAGAGGTTTCACTTAGAGAATATTAAGTTCTCTTCTGTAAACAGAGATGTTTTAGGAGAGATGGGAATAACCAGGTGGGAGTAATCGCTTTTGGAAGAGTTGTATTTGGGAACTCTGCCCAGCACTTTCTTTTATTATGTCTGTTTTTCCTGCGCTCTGGCTCAGGAAAACTCATATTCATGCACACACTTACTCCTTGCTGGGATTCCCTGACTCCAAGACTGTCAGCATTGCCTTATTATACGAGCCCTTTGTTTTATCCTATTCAATACATCTCGCTCTACGCAATTTGGCCTCTTAACCTGCCGCGCAATATTTCAAGGGCTTGTTGCTGGAAGCCAYGTCTCCCTCTGCTATGATTTGTGCAGCCCTGGCTACATTTTCATGACAGCTTCTAATGATTCGTGGTGGGTTGCAGTACAATGAACTCATGCYGCAGAACAGCCCCCTGAAAGAGATCTTTCAAATTATTGTTCCAGTGCAAAAGGTTCCCAATCACCTTCCACCTGCGGATTAGGTGGTTGCTATAGGAACCCACGGTAGCTTTTCAGTGCTGAGCTACTGTAGGTCCAGATTACCGACTCCCACAAACACAATAGGGGAAGGAATCACGGGCTATTAGCGCTGCCACCACCACCGAGGTGATGTTGCAGACCTGGGGTGGCGGAGCCGCGCGGTGCGGATGAATAGAGCCGGCGCCTTGAAACCCAAGGGACAGGAGGAGGAGAGGGAGCAGCAGGAAGTGGAGCTCAAGTCRTCGCAACGGACGTGCCGTCTTTGATCTTATTTTCTGCGCTCTATAAGTCTTTTCATAATATAATGCTAAATGCAAGCAGTGCAATTACTGATGGCAGAGCCACTGGTCATGTCCTTATGTTAGTACAGGGTTGCCTTTCCTCCCTTCGCTTTTCTTCCAGTGAGTAGCACAGTCTGAACCTTTCCAGACCTGCAGGATTAACTCTGGCCAAGGTTAGAGCAGCCGCTCACCAGCCTCCTTCCCAGGAGAGTCAGACCTCCTGCATCCCTGGGAAGTATCACCTGAAATATCCCCCTGCACACAGGACTTGAACAGGGAATTTTGCAGCATGAGAAATGCGTGCTGAGTAGCTGAGATCAGATCTCTACTTTGGTGGCCATGAGTGCATCTCAGGAGCTTATGCTGCTGAAGGACTCTCCTGCAGAGCGAGCTGCCTCTGCTTCATGGGGAAGAAATAAGTATTTGCAGCATTTGCAGATGGAGTGAGGAAAAGGGAGGTACTCTAGGCTCCCAGAAATAGTTTTGTTACCACTTGTGCTTGGTCAGGGAGAAGCAAGGGAATAAAATACGTCCTCATCTTTAGCTGGTGTGCATTGAGCAAAGCGAGCTGCGTTTAGTCCCAGGTTCACCAGCTGCTGCTCTGGGGGTTACTGCTGCTCTATTACATTACCGCGATGTATTAGACAGGGTGCAGTGATTCATTCCTGCTCCTCATCGCTTTAGGAGGCTCCTCTCTCTCTTGACGGGAGCACAGCTGACCCTGCTGCTCATGACCCTCGGGWCTAAGGCGGGCTCCACGTTGGTGCAGGCTGCTCTCTCTCAAGTGCAGGCACGCCAGGCAAAGAACAAAACTGAGCCCTGTGGAAAGATCTGGCTCACGTTTATCTCTGTGGCTGGAGAAGCATTTGCTTAAGTGGCTCTGCATTCTGACCAGCCTGCTGATGTGTTACTTAGGCTTTCTCCTCCCTCCCTCGGCACCCTTTTCCCACTTCTTTCACCTTTGCATTGGGCCATTCTCAGCCTCACAGACCTCGGTGACCCTCCAAGCTGGAAGTGACATTCCTTAGGCACTTGTTCGCAAAATGAACCACAGAACAGAGTTTGTACTATACTAGGACAGAACGAGGACTATCAAAATACCACAGAGAGGTATTGTTCCCCTGCACTTCTGCTGCTCTGTAGGCTGAAACCCTTAGTTGAATGAATTATGGGCTGACTGACATCTAACAACCCGTATTTGGAGGGAAGCCACATATGCAGGCAGGGCATAGGTGCCGCTGTTGGTCAGCTGGACTGCCCCGGGACCATCTGGCACGGCTCTTTGGCCTCCCTGTCTCCAACATTATCTTTATTGACCAGCTGCTTTTGCTCATTGCCATTGACAAAGCCTCCCCGGCCCCAGTTTCCCCTCGCTTCCAGGGAAGACAGAGATATACGACAGCCTTTCACCTTCTACCAGTGGCCTTGAGCTTCTGGCGCCCCAAGGTCTCTGCTCGGGTTCGCCTTCTGCTCTTTGGCACTGTTCTCACAATAGTTAGGACGCTGCCATTAGCTCCCCCAGTGCCTTCTTGCTCTCCTAACCATAAGCCC